CTTCTTTGTCTTCTTCTTCTTGTGTTTTATGGCGGTTGGCAAACAACTTTTGGTGCATTACCGCCACCAACTGCTTGATTTCCTCCTTTAATACTAGCAGTAATACCGCAGATCGTCACTAGGAGGCGAGGAACCGAGATAGCGTGATGTGTAAACGGTCGTCAGAACCGAGCTCGGCCTGGTTCACTGATCCGAGCTTGGACCGGTCTCGGCATGGATCGGGTTTTCAGGGGTAGTGTAAATGGGGTATAAATATCAAATATATCCACTTACTTTTCAGGTCAATAAACAGGACTTTGTGTGTATCGATGCTCCGTACAGGCGGCTCTTTTCTCCCCCATGTAACTGGAGAGGGTCAGACATCAGATCCCCTTAAACAGGTATGACCCTTACCTGGTCAGACCTATTTCTGGTTCTCTGATGTAGGATTAAATCTAAAGGGTGTCTGTCTCCTTGTCCTCACCGGTATCTCCACGGCTCCAAAGTGCTCTGCTGGCAGACTCCAAATCACAGACAGAGACTGTTTAATTTGGCCAGTTTGCTTTCAGTTGCACTAAACCTGGAGGTTACAGCTCTGGCTCCTCTAGCTACTGAAAGTCCCACAGTGGGTGCGTTTGATTTCAGCGACTGTGTCCTCCGAGGACCTGGTCTACCTGGCCGAGTCCTCAGAACGGCAGATTCTTCGGCCGATTATGTCATAGCGAGGCGCCGAGGCCTGTTCGGATCGGAAGACTCCTTGTCTGAATCCCAAACCGGTCACTAACCACTAACACTTAACTGACAAGTGTCACTCCCAATGAAGTCTCACTTGCAGCTGTGGAAGGCGTTTGATTGAAGGTGGTGGTGGGGGGGGGGAGAAAGCAGTCATTGATACGGCAACACAGTGTCAGCTGTAGCTCTGTGGCGCAGAGTGACACAAAATATAACATTTGTCCCTTTCTTAGAACAAATGTATTATATGTCAAAGAGGAGCTTACATTTTGGAACTAACTACGTTTCGTTCTTTTACCCAACTTGTGATTTTTTTTGCCAGTGTGATGAAGATGCAGCAAACCGGTGGAACTTAGATGTAAATGCACGCTTTTCATCCAAACCATTCCAAAAGCTGCCAAATTTCAGCGAGGCTGCACTTTATGCAGACTCACTATTTAAGGGCTAAGCGCTACAGGGGTTTGGGGTGGCACTTAATGTCGAGACCCTCCACGGCAGGGATGTAAAAGTCAAATACACCGAGGGCCAGACTGTTTATTAAAATTAAATCATATTCAAATGAACATAGCCGATTGAACCAAGACCTAACACTGTTTTTTAACTAAATATTAATATCAATATTAGCCTGGATGGAGGGAGGGGTGGAGCTGATACTGCAGGTGATAGAGAAGGACACGCTGCTCACAGGATACTGGGAGGTCAACAGACGGCACAGTCAGGGCCTCTAACTAGTGCCCAATCTTGATCATAGTGCAGTTAGTGCACTCCGCCTCCTTAGACAACCAACTTCAGGGGAAATCTTCAGGGAAATCAAAAAACAAAACAATCCAAACATGCAAAGCACCATCAAACAGTTTAAATAAAAGAAAAATACAATCCTGTTTTCCCTTGGGAATGTAGTGTTGGTGCGTGCAACACTACTGCACCAACACTACATTCCCCACAATGCTACGGTAGCCCGCGAAGTCACAGCAGTGCGTACAAGCAAGGGTGGCCTATGGGCCAGTTCTGGTAATTAAATATCATCCAGAGGTTCATGGATAAACAATTCGCTGCCCAAATTTTTTATCCATGACCCCCTGGATGAAATTTCAATAAACAGTGGATAAACAATTTAAGGCCCATGGGCCGGATCCAGCCCACAGGCCCTCACATGCTCAGGCTTTGCATTTAGGGACCGGTTTTGTTTTGGGCCCTCGATATGCAGCCAACAAATGCATCTTCTTTTTGGCCGTTTTGAAGAACAGGTCCGGTGCATCAGCTTGGAAATCCCGTGATTCGCTGCGAGTCCAAAGCAAGCTGCTCCATGCACAGAGGAAAAAGGGAAATGGCGCCGAGCAGTGGTGAATATTGGAAGTGCAATTGGATACAAGTATGTGAATAGTTCAGTCTAAACATAATGAAAATAGTTTTTTAAATCGCTTATTGAGTCAGATATTTGGCGGGTAATGTTTGGTTTATTAAAATATTTTTATCTGCCCCTTTGTAAATCGGTTAGAGAGTTATTGTCACTGGATGATTTAAATAATAAATATAATGCTTAAGTCTCATCCCAGGAATATGGAAAAAATTCAAAATTATATCTAAAAAACATTGATTATTTTAATTCAAGGTTGCATCACATATATTAAAGTTCCTAAACTTAAAAATACATTTATTGAAGGACTCAATATTGTAGGCGAAAAATGCAAAAACATCTTTTTTTTTTGAAGTGTCAAAAAAATCTTAGATCATCTTTCTCCTTTAAAATAATCCTCCAAAAATGATATCAGCGCATTGACAACCAAATATCATAAATTTGCTATTCAACCTAAATATAAAGAGATTCATTTCAAAATATTAAATGACATTTATCCTTCCAACCAATTCATATGCTCCAAATTTAAATTCATTGTAGACAAATGTTGTCTGTGTGAGCAAGAAGAGAAATTAGTTAAACATATTTTTTCTTTTTGTAGTAAAATCCAACATTATCGTTCCAGTTACTCTCTAAATCCTTAAACATAAATTTCCTCTCCCCCTCTGCAATGAAATGTAATATTATTGCCCAAGATAAACAAATAGAATAAAAATTAATAATATTATAACGGTCAATTTTTTTCTTAATGAACCTCTCCCTACAATCATAGCATTTAAAAATGGAATAAATATACTTACTTTGTCCTTAAAGACAATGTCCACCACTAATGCTAAAAGACTCCATGCTTTTCTCTCTGAATGTCATTCTTAATTACATCACTACATCCTATATTCTTTATATTTTCAGTCTAGTGATTGTTATTTGTCATTTCAATTTCAATTTGGCATTTCCCTTTTTTTTTACTATTTTTTTTTACTATTTGCTTAAAAAGTCGTAGGGAAGCGGCTGTTCCAACTGTTGCATTTCCGAATTCTCCTTAATGGTGCCCGACTTTACTTTAAAAAGTAAATCCACCTGTATATAAGCCATCCGGATTGTACATATTTTTTATCTCTTATTTCTTATTTTTATTTTGTTTTTCATTGTGTGCGATACATGTACACTTGCACCTTGATCCTTATTTACCTTGATATACTGTATATATATTTTTTTATTGTTTATTCTTAATGCACCTTTTTCCTCCTTTCTCCTCCTTTGTTTTTTATTTTTTCCTTCTTGCTTTGATTCTGTTTCATCTTCCTGTATTTTAATCATGTAAAGCACTTTGCATAGTCTTTGTACTGAATTGTGCTATACAAATAAATTTGCCTTGCCTTGCCTTGTTTGCACCGTCTTTACTTACTATGCCAATATGTGACAAGTGAATTTCTCCGCTGTGAGATCAATAAAGCTCATCTAATCTAATCTAATCTAATTTACTACTTTAGTGAATAGAGTGAATGTGATTGGTCGATTATCAAGGGGGCGGGATTGTTGTGGTAGAAAGTTTGCAAGCAAGTTTGGTTGTGGCCGGTTTGTCGCTAACCTCTTGTTAACCAGGTAGCACGGTTGCTAGGAGACAGAGCATACGGGTAGTCAAAGCCAGGGAAGGCTGGTCCTGTTTGAATCCACAGCCAAAACTCTTCTGGTCTCCTTAGTTTCACTGACCTGTAAGGATCCAGTCCAGGTAGACGGCGTCCTTGGAGGATTTAGCCTCGGAACTGAACACAACCTGTTGTTCCAAACAAGCCGGCTGCTCTGTGCTCAAAGGAAAAAAGGAAACGACCTCGAACAGTGGTGAATATTGGAAGTTCAGCTTAATATGATACAAGTTTGTGAATTTTTCTATATGAAATTAATGAAAATAATAATTGTTGGTTTATTGAAAGGTTTCTATCTCTCTCTGTCTAAATGGGTTTGGCTGACATTGAAATGTAAATTCTAATATCTGTGCGGTGTGGGGAAAATGTAATTACCACCCAGAATAGTAGTGAGAAGTTCGGTATCCATTCATTGTGTACATTGTATGTCAACTTTATTGGTTGCTATGCAACAGAGCATAGCAACCGGGGTTGGTGAAAGCCGGAGAAGGGTGGACCTGTTTGAATCCACAGCCAAAACTGGTGAAGATTTTCAGTAATCCAGGTCAGTCGTTCCAAAAAAAAGAAAATTTAACAATCCACTGGACTTGGTTTCCAAGTTTGAAGATGTTTCGCTTCCCATCCAGGAAGCTTTTTCAATTCAAAATGTCAGGAATAGCTTTGAGTTTGAGGTTTTATACAGTAGCCCATAAACTCAACGCTATTCCTGACATTTTGAAATGAAAAAGCTTTCTGGATGGGAAACGAAACGTCTTCAAAGTTGGAAACCAAGTCCAGTGCACAAAACTCTTTAATATCACGGACCTCCAAGGACCCGATCCAGGTAGACTGGGTCCTTAGAGGACGCAGCCTCTAAAATTGTACACACCCACTATAACACACACACACGCACACATCTGATAGATCACAGTTGCTACGATTGGCTCAAAGTTCAACATAGGTGGTGATTTACCCAATCAGCTCCAAGAGAACTGAACGTCCCTCCCTTTTTTGAACTTTCCATCAGGGCATTTCCAGGTGGATGCTGTGTAGAATTTAAATTGAACTACATTATCGATCTTATGAAGTTATATATAATAGAGATATACAAAACTGAAATGAAAACATGTTTTTTCACCTTCCTTTTCACAAATTTGTACTACTTTGGTTCAGTCCGTTACAAAAAATCACTAGAAAAATCTAAAACACTAAGTTTAAATTAATATTTAGACACACACACACATAGGAACCACAGAAAGCATTTATCTGGTCATTAAAAAAAAAGAAGGAAAGAGAAGCTAAAGCAAACCTTTAGTTTGTAGCATCATTTTATTCTTTGAGATACAAATACCTCTTTTACACATCTAGTTCACTAACAAACATGCTGCGATGCACCAGGACAACTCTCAGCTCATCACAGTGATAACATTCAAAGAATATGTCTGGACCTTTAATCAGTCCTATAAAAGGAAGCCATCTTTTTCTCTTTTTTTCACCAAAGCAGCAACGCCTAAAGGGTACTCAGTCCTAAGATTTCACATAGCGCTAGTCATTGTCATGCAGAGCCCCTCTGTGCAAAAACACACCACTAAAAGCTATTTTGTAGCCAATTGCATTGAGAAAACCTCCCGATGATTACGGCAGACAGCACCTATGGTTGCAGCACGCTGTGCATGTGCAGAAAATAACAACACAGACTGGAGAGAGACTAACAGAATAACACCACACCATAAAAGGTTACAAAAAAAAGGTTAAATCTTTTGTTAAATGTTGGATCTTGGTCAGGCATCCTCAGACTGACACAGGCTTACATTTATTTCCTGTCAAATTCGTACAAAAGAATAACTTAGTTAAGTGCTTTCTGAATGAAACGGTCGATCATTTCAGCGCCGAACACTCAAATGACAGCCGCATGTCAGTCAGCCGCTGTGAGCTGAAGCTGCTGGTGAGTTTGAACGCTTACATCCTGCCTTCGTTCACGAGCAGCATAAGCGCTTCACATTAACGTCTAAAAATAAACACAACAAAAACCTGATGACTCAGACCTTTTAGATTTCTAAGAAATGAAATGCCCATTTCAACATTAAAGGACACATGTGATGGTTAGGATGCATGCAGTGGAATCTAGGTAAGCCTAAAAAAAAAAGAAAAAACATTTGGTGACTGTGAAGCTAACTGCTGATAATGATGTCAGAAGTCTAACTAACGGTGCACGGATCATCCTTGCAGGGCTTCATGTCTCCTTGCAGCAGCTGAATCATTACTGCCTTGGTCAGGTAGCTGGAGGTTCCTCTCTTTCCTAGCGGCGGTGTGTTGTAGAACACCTCCATGTCATCCTGAGAATGGCAAAGACACCGTTATAGTTTTTCAGAACATCTTTTAACAGTGGGGTTGTACATGCCCTAAATTAAATCAAAAGCTTTTTTAAACTGTATTTTGAGGCTCTTGTGGCCTTTATTTTGAAAAGTAAGCAGGGAGGAAATGGAAATGAGAGGGGGAAGACATGCCGCGAATCACAGGTGGGGCAAAACTAAAGCTAAAGCTTGATATACATCAAGTTAAGCAGCCCGCTGGTTCACATATGGAAGGAAGCAAATCGTTACCATATTTGAAATGAAAAAGCATTTCCAGAAATGCTTTTTCATTTTAAGAATGTGGCTGCATTGTTTGACTCATAAATGAAATTAGTAATCAATAATCCCGTTTGCATTTTGATTTTCTTCTTCAACACTGCTCATCCTTTTACTTAATTAAAAAGAAAAAGACATTAGAGATTCATTTTTCAAAATGTACCAAAGTTCAATTTGAAATGTAAAATGATCAATTGATTGATTACTAATTTCATTTATGAGTCAAACAATGCAGCCACATTCTTAAAATGAAAAAGCATTTCTGGAAATGCTTTTTCATTTTCAAATTTTACATTTCAAATTGAATTTTGGTATGTATTTGCTGGGGTGCATTTTGAAAAATAAATCTCAAATGTCTTTTTCATTTTAATTAAGTAAAAGGATGAGCGATGTTGAAGAAGAAAAAGAAAATGCAAACAGGTTTATTGATTACTAATTTCATTTATGAGTCAAACAATGCAGCCACATTCTTAAAATGAAAAAGCATTTCTGGAAATGCTTTTTCATTTGAAATATGGTAACGATTTGCCTCCATATTAATAGGCCTGCTGTACCTGTTTCTCCATTCCCTCAAAGCGGCTCCGATCTTTCTGAAAGTCATTAAACGCCTCCTTCACCAGACTATCCAGATCCACCTTTTCACCGAACTCCAGTTCCGGGTTTCTCTCCAGAACTACTGCCACCACCATCAGCAGCTGCAGGGAAAGCGGACAGGGTTGTAAAAAATTATAAAAACATGAAATAATCCGCATCAGTCTCCTGTCATGTAATGGATCCTCCTACCTCCACAATGATCTGTCTGTACTCAGGCAGAACAATGTTCTTCAGAGTGTCCTCCACCAGCAGGGAGAAGTTCATCTCATACATCGTCATGTCAGACAGTGTTGGTTGCTGCACAGCAATGAAGATGTTAGTTTGATCCTCCTGTGGCTGTTGTATCCAGCAGGTTCAAATGCATTTTAAAAACGGAGCCATTTTTTTCTGTCAAATTAGACATTTGACCTTTGGAGGTAGCATGTAGCTGTTCTGCTGGGATTCTCACACATACTGTAGTTTCCTAAATAATGAAGCCATAAGCTTGACGCTCTTTTCCCCTCTTTAATCCGCTTGATGGTAAAAAAACAACAAAAACAAACTGGTTCAACCATTTACTTCTAAAATAAAAAAAAAAGAAGAGGCATCATAGTCCCATATAAAATGAAATAATAAAAGAAGATTAGGAGAAAAATAAATGAGGTCAAGAAACTGTGTGGCTTCACTTCAATTAATAAAGTTAGAAAATTTCTATTTTAAAAAAAATCCTGTCTTAAAATTTGTGTTTTTTTTCCCGTTATCTTCTGCAGGCCAGTTAGTTCTACGTCAGCCTGAACACCTAAATTCGGCCAATCATATATCAACGGTCATCTGTCAATCACATTTTTTCGGTCATAGCATCTTGATTCATATGTCGCAGCTAATATACGCAACGGTTGAAACCAGAATCCTTTCCTTTCCCATTGAGTTGCGTCCCAGTGTTCACAGGGATGGACGTCTGTGTCTTCAGCAGGCGTAGAGCTAACAGAACTGGCAGCGTAGCGAGGCAAGGGCTCAAACATGTACGGCTGGAAGCCTTCTACACCAAACCAAGCTTCTGCCGCCCTGGCGTCCTCTTCCACAACATCTTCGTCCCCGCTTTCCTCCTCTAAATAAAAAATGGATGACGGAGGAGACTCATCCACGACCTCCGACACTAAACTCTCCTCCTCTTGCATGTTTCCGCTGTCCATAGCGTTCCTTGACAGTGTCGTTTCTAAGTCACCAATTTAGTGCTACTTGGTCTCAATGGAATTTCCCATTGGGAACCTGCTAGCACTAAGTTGCTAACTGGTTAGCAAGATGCTTCCGACAAACCGGCTACAACCAAACTTGCTTGTGAACCTCCCGCCACAACAATCCCGCCCCCTTGATAATCGACCAATCAGTTGGCACAGCCGCTTCTCTATGACTTTAAACAATAATAGAGCAGAAAAAAAGCCTTCTGATCTGATGAAGCTTTAGTTCAACTGCAACAGTCTTTCTGGAGTCAGACTTTGGCTGAAACCGCAGTAAAGCAAAGACTAATCCCACTTTAGAAGCGACTCAGGCGACTGTGGAGTAAATGTTTTGCCTCTGGCCACTGACACCAGCTAAAAACACCTAAATCACCTACCAAACTCTCACTGCTGATCGCATCAGTTTCTCTATAGCTACGCTGTAATGTCTACTCATTACATTCAGCAGGACTAAAGTCAAAAAGTAGGCGCTAATAAAAAGTGTGACTGCGGGGCAGAGGTCAGGCTCCAATTATTGGCACACATCCTGAATCTGAGCCACAGACACACTCATTGATTAACTCCTTCATACTTTTGTTGATGGTTACCTGTGGGAGGTGATTTCCAGCCACCATGATGCCATTAGGGGTCCTTTCCAGGATCTGCCACACGCGGTCATAGAAGCCCAGAGGGGTTCTGTTCAGACTGCCGTCGATCTGCCGCCTGTTTAGCCAGGACCTGTCGTTAAAAGATGGAGACACTGCTGAGATTATCTCCTTAAAACTAACAAAAATAATTACATTTTTTTTTTTTCAAAGTTAGTTAAATTAGATGAGATAAAAGGTTAATAATTCTCTGGGGGAAATTTGCTCCTGTTTCCATTAAACGATATGATAAAAAATGAAGGAAGATGAAATAATAAAGATAATAGAGGGATTAAGCTGATGTCTACAACTGCATAAATGGAAGTTAAAAACACGCGTGTTGTACGGTATTGCATCCTGCGTGCGTTTTTCACAGTACCTGCCAGTGTGCTGCGGCTGCAGGACGTCCAGCAGGAGCTGCTTGATGTCACCAGGAGACAGCTGGTAGATGTCCTGAGGAGGCATGTCTCCAGCTCGGATCTTCAGCTCATGTTTCATGGCCTGGACAATCCACCTTCATATCAACATAAAAACGCCATGTTAGCCACTACAGATGTAGCTCCATGAATGACCAGTTTATGAATACAAGCCAAAGCTCAGGAGATCAGAACTGATCCTGTTCTTTGTTTTCAAAAATGTTAAAACCAACAGCAGTAAACCTCATCCACACATTAAGTCCATTTTGGCATCAAACCAGCTCCTTTGAGACGTTTGAAAGATACTAATTTAAAACAGATTCCCTGGTGGATGTTGCTGGTTCAACTCCCTGATGGCTTAGATCCAAACTATCTGATACCAGTTTCTGCATCAACAGCGGTGATTTAATCCTACTTATCTCACCTAGGGGGCGCCACAAGGCTGCACACATGAACCTCTTTCTCTTCCATCTCTCTCTCTACATTTGAATGCAGGTAAATTCTATGTTTACTCCCAGTTTAATAGTTGGGTATCTGACGAAAAAGAAAGATCCTTTACAGTTTGCTCCAAAACAAAAATATACTTTATCTTAATACAAAACTGAGACAGGTTTATAGACTCTTATCTTGATTACTGAATTATTTTTGGAACTAGTCTTCTAATGCAAATTTTAAAGTGGTATAAAATAATAGAACAAAATTTTTACACACACAAAAAAAGGGAAAAACTTTTGGTTTATTTCTGAAATTCCTTGTTTTTAAATTATCTTGTTTTTATTCAGTCAATCAATATTTACTAAGTTCCACACAGAAGAACCAAACTGGGAGAAGCAGCGTTTAGTTCCTAAGCTCCTCTTATCTGGTAAAAGTGATGAAAGCCTGAGAACTTTTAAGCCCAAGTTAAAAACCAGAGCTGCCTTTGACTCTTGGAGTTAAACTGTTAAATACGGTATCATTAGTTTAAGGTTGTGATCCAAATATTTTAGTTGTTTTATGACCTGTTTTTATGATGTTCTATCTTCATTTGCTTTTATTCTGATTTTATTTGTCTTCTATTTTATCGTTTACTTCATGTAAAGCACTTTAAATGAACTTCTTTCCCAATGAACCATGGAGACCAAAACCATTTTGGACCAATGACATCTTGTGCAGGACTGGCTGAGGGTTTAAAGTAGGACTGAAACAATTAAATCGGTTTTATAATCTATTATTTAAATAATTGACTAATTTAGTAATTAATTGAAGATAACTGGAGTAAAGAGACAGTAAAACATGGCTTTAGCTGAGAGCAACCCACTTAGAGCAGTAATTATATCAAAATTCTACAAAAATAAACATTTTGCATTTAAGATAAAAAAAAATATCAATCATCTCTATTGTTTAGTTTCACATGGTTTAATTTCGTAAAACAAATCTTGAAGGAACCGTTGGCTATCCGATTATTAATTGATTGATTGAAAAAAATAATCAATTTGCAAAATAATGCTTAGATGCAGCCCTTGTTTAAAGGACACATACACTATATTGCCAAAAGTATTTGCTCACCTGCCTTGACTCACATATGAGCTTAAGTGACATCCCGTTCCTAATCCATAGGGTTCAATATGACGTCGGTCCACCCTTTGCAGCTAGAACAGCTTCAACTCTTCTGGGAAGGCTGTCCACAAGGTTTAGGAGTGTGTTTATGGGAATTTTTGACCATTCTTCCAGAAGCGCATTTGTGAGGTCGCACACTGATGTTGGACGAGAAGGCCTGGCTCTCAGTCTCCGCTCTAATTCATCCCAAAGGTGTTCTATCGGGTTGAGGTCAGGACTCTGTGCAGGCCAGTCAAGTTCATCCACACCAGACTCTGTCATCCATGTCTTTATGGACCTTGCTTTGTGCACTGGTGCACAGTCATGTTGGAAGAGGAAGGGGCCAGCTCCAAACTGTTCCCACAAAGTTGGGAGCATGGAATTGTCCAAAATGTCTTGGTATGCTGAAGCATTCAGAGTTCCTTTCACTGGAACTAAGGGGCCAAGCCCAGCTCCTGAAAAACAACCCCACACCATAATCCCCCCTCCACCAAACTTTACACTTGGCACAATGCAGTCAGACAAGTACCGTTCTCCTGGCAACCGCCAAACCCAGACCCGTCCATCAGATTGCCAGATGGAGAAGCGCGATTCGTCACTCCAGAGAACGCGTCTCCACTGCTCTAGAGTCCAGTGGCGGCGTGCTTTACACCACCGCATCCGACGCTTTGCATTGCACTTGGTGATGTATGGCTTGGATGCAGCTGCTCGACCATGGAAACCCATTCCATGAAGCTCTCTGCGCACTGTTCTTGAGCTAATCTGAAGGCCACATGAAGTTTGGAGGTCTGTAGTGATTGACTCTGCAGAAAGTTGGCGACCTCTTCGCACTATGCGCGTCAGCATCCGCTGACCCCGCTCCGTCAGTTTACGTGGCCTACCACTTCGTGGCTGAGTTGCTGTCGTTCCCAAACACTTCCATTTTCTTATAATACAGCTGACAGTTGACTGTGGAATATTTAGGAGCGAGGAAATTTCACGACTGGATATGTTGCACAGGTGGCATCCTATCACAGTTCCACGCTGGAATTCACTGAGCTCCTGAGAGCGACCCATTCTTTCACAAATGTTTGTAAAAACAGTCTGCATGCCAAGGTGCTTGAATTTATACACCTGTGGCCATGGAAGTGATTGGAACACCTGATTCCAATAATTTGGATGGGTGAGCAAATACTTTTGGCAATATAGTGTATCTATTGATAGAATTGAGCTAGAACCGTTTATTTATTCATATTTCTGTGAACTTACCTTATTTATTTTAAATTCCCATGTAAAGTATTTGTTTAAACTGCAGTTTATCATTTTAGTAATGCTGATTCTTTCACACAGCAAGTTTTAGTCTACTTTTACTCCTCCACTTCAAATAACCCTGCAGGTCACCTTTAAATAGTGGATGTTGGTACAGAGAAAAGCTGCCTTTATTAAACTGTTTGCAGAAGAAGAACCCAGCTACACACTGACCTTATAAAACAGGGGACCATTTCCAAGAATCAGGTTAGTTTTCTGGGGAAATTCTTTTATGTTTTATTTGCATTGGAAGAACCAGGTCTAAATCCAATTACCAGTCTGGAAATGGAGCCCAGACAGCAGGAAGGGAAGGGACAGACCCTGAGCTATATGTGGAGTTTTTCATTTTGACAGAAGTTTTACTGGATCAATTCTCCTCCATTCATAAAATCATCTCACAGTGTAAACCCAGTCATATATTTTCCTTTTTCTAAATAATAAAATAGATGTATTTTTTTATATTTGTGTTTGCAAAAACGAAATGTATCCCAGCCACTTGTAACATAACCACTATGTTATTTTTCACTTTATGTATAAAGTACATTAAAGTTTACTAACAACAAACTGTCTTGTAGAACAGTTAGTTCATTGGTAATTTTATTTCAAATCTCCACTGGTTAGAAAATTATGATGGGAATTAATATGCTGGGTTATTTTGAGGTGGAGAAATTACTTAATAAAAAGGGGCGTGTGCGTCGGCGCGCGCGGCTCGACAGGTGAGGGAGACGCGCGCTGACTGGTCTGTGCAGCGGGAGTTTTCGTCTGGTAGTCTGATAAATACAAGTCAAAAAATAAAGAAAGAAAGATAAAACACAGTCAGAGATTGTCCCAGCGCCGCAGATCAGCCAAGTAGGAAACTGATCGGAGTTTGCACCCAGAGGACGCCGCCCAGGGGAAAGAAAGACGTTCCGATGAGATGTGGACCTTATTTTTCTTTTTGGAGATTTTTGGTGGTACCACTCTTTTTCTAATCTTTTTTGGGGGGGGTTTGCAGTTTGGATTTTTCGTTTTGGAAAGGACTTTGGACTCAAACGCTTCCAGGATTTTACTTTGGGTTCGGAGCATGTGGAACTCCTGTTTGGACATTATTATTAAAAATAAAAGAGACGGACAGTTTTGGACTTTCAGTTATTAGGGATGTTTTTGTTTGTTTTTTGCAGATATAAATTGAGACTTTGAGTTTACTTATAAATTGGTTGTGAAGGTTTTTTGGGTTATTTATCATTTATACTGAAATATTATTGAATTAAACTTTGGATTCTTGGTAATAGTGTGATTTTTTTATTATTATTATTATTATTTTTTTTTTTTAAATAAATCTTTGTTTGCTAAAAATTGTAATACTTTCCCGGAGTTCCCTGTGAAAAAACCCCCTTGAGTATTTGTGAGTTCCGCTTTTAATCTCTACAGTTTATACGAAGCTTATATCCAAACCAAGCGTGCTACACTTAGAAAACATTCAAAACCAGCTTCCTGAAGTGTCAGACTCAAATCAGTCTTGATAAAACATCCTCTCTCTGTGCCCTAAGATAAACTACCTCTTTGATGCGTTATCAGGAGCCTAATGTAAACATAGCTACACAGGACTGTGACAGAGAGCGCAACACTTTTCCAGCAAACATGGCGCCTCAGTCCCACTCAGAAAACTGGAAAGTGGAAAATAAATAACATACTGTAAGAGAAATGAGAAAAACAACTAACTTATGGATAAAGTCTCAGAGGCTTTTGACAGCTTTTGATTAAAGTTTTTTTTTGGTGTAAATGTTCATATTGGTTCATTTCTTTACCCGAGTGAAGTTGGTCCCCCCCACCTTCTTCAAATCAGACAAAATTAGTGTCAAACGTTTGTGCTGGTTTGTGCAGCTTGGATTTGAAGATATTAATGAATATGTAAAGGTCAAAAGGTCAACCAGCCCCCCCACCTTCTTCAAATTAGACAAAATTGGTGCCAAACGTTTGTGCAGCAAAAATTTTCGTTTGTGCCGCGATCGTTTTAAAGATATAAAGAAATATTTCTAGAGGTCATTAAAGGTCAACCAGTCCCCCCACCTTCTTCAAATCAGACGAAATGGGTGTCAATTAACTCAGCTCCGTTTGTGCAGCAAACATTTTTGTTTGTGCTACTTTGGCTTTGAAGATATTAATGAAAATGTAAAGGTCAAAAGGTCAATCAGCCCCCCCACCTTCTTCAAATTAGACAAAATTGGTGTCAAACGTTTGTGCAGCAAAAACAGATGTTAACTGACCTTTGATGACCTCTACAAAATTTTATTAATATCATTGAAATGATAGCAGTACAAATGAAAATTGCCATACAAAAATATAAAATTTCAGAATCAATTTTAAATATAAAATATTTAAAATACATATATACAAAATTTAAAAATGCATATTTTAAGATATATAAATTTTTTGTACTGCTATTATTTTAATGATATTAATAATTGTTTGTAGAAGCCATCAAAGGTCAGTGAACATTTGTTCATTCTGAAACTCTGAACTTCATATAAATTATAAGTTGCTAACCTATGATTATATCATTTTAAACTGTAAAAAAATGGTAGCGGCACAAACGGAAATTTTTGCCTCACAAACCAGCACAAACGTTTGCCACCAATTTAGTCTGATTTAAAGAAGGTGGGGGGGCTGGTTGACCTTTTGACCTTTACATTTTCATTAATATCTCCAAAGCCAAAGCAGCACAAACGAACATTTTTGCTGCACAAACGGAGCTGAGTTAATTGACACCCGTTTCGTCTGATTTGAATAAGGTGGGGGGGCTAGTTGACCTTTGATGACCTCTAGAAACATCTCTTTATATCTTTAAAACGATAGCGGCACAAATGAAAATTTTTGCTGCACAAATGTTTGACACTAATTTTGTCTGATTTGAAGGAGGTGGGGGGGCCAACTTCACTCAGGTCATTTACCTCCATCATCTGGTCAGCACCAGTAAGGAGGGGAGAAAATCCCAACTGATGAGACACGAAAGAGCAGATGAGGGTTCAAATTCACCCTCTAACGCTGATATTACCCACCCGACTCTGATTTTCAGCATGCCGCTGAACAGCTCAGGGTTGTTGGAGATAATCCATCCGATGTGGATGACCAGTTCCTGCTGGAGGACAGCTTCCCTCTCCCCACCATGGGGGCAGCACTTGCTGTAAATGATGCCCTGGATAACTCCTGGAGACAGCGGGTTGGAGATCACCTCCTCCTCGTGCCCAAACAGGCCCAGGGTCACCTGGTGATCAGGTGAACACAAACAAAGACGCTCCTTATTGTGACTCCAAAAAGCCTCTCAGCATAAAAACAAAACATGGAAGATTGCACATGCATCGGCTACTGAACACAATACACAAAATGTCTAGCTCCCTTTCTTTGAAATTGGCCTCCTCTCTGCGAGTCACTTATAAGTGAGAGAAAACACGACACCTCTGTAGTTTTGCTCAGAAGCATCTCATGAAAATGACGCCCGGGTAATTTCACTGATGAGAACAAACACTTTTATCTTTTTGCCTCCAGTGGATGAAATCCGACTCTGAGAGGCGGATCATTCATCCTTAGATCTAAAACTGATCCCAGCAGAGCACGGAAGGCAGAAATATGTTTTGGATTCTATGAAGAATCTATTGTTGGATTTCAAAAGCAATGTGAAATACAATCAGTAGAAAAACTTCCTCAAATGGGACGGCGACTCGTTTTCTTTCTACTTAGCTTTTTATGTAAGGAGAGGCGCTCGCCCGTCTCCGATTCTAAATCAGCTTTTCCAATCATGTTGAGAGGAGCCTACCCTTTTTGCCTCATTGGCAATCTATATGCAGATTCACACCTTGAGCTACTTCAACATAATGAAATGCCTAAAAGTATTCAGAAGGGTAGACATGCAGCAAAATTACTGACACTCTTGAGAGGAGGCTAATCTCCGAATCCCACTTGACAGAAAACGTTGAATCGAGAGTCGTCTGGTATGAGGTGGTGAATCTATACAACTCATGAGTCACAGAGAATCAATCGGCACGTACAAGGTGCAAATTATGGCGCTGTTGGGGAGGGGTGGGGGGTTGTTACGCTTGTAGCCTTGCTGCAAACTGCAACTACAGCTTGGATCAAACACAGTGGATGTAAGCTGTGATGAGGGGCGTGAGCAAGCAGCTGGCCCAAATAATTCCCATAGGAAACAGCATGAGGAGCCTTCAAAGATCTACTATCTAGATTTTCCTACGCTTCCGATCAGTGAACATTAAAATCATTGACCTGCCACCAACAGTTTTCCCCCAACATACTGCTTAAACAGAAGGGGTTTGACTTTATTCAGGCCATTCTGTCTGTGTGTCCACTTACCTGCTTGCCTTGCACTAAAATACTAGTAATACTGGGGGCAAGGCTGTCCACTAGCTTAGTTAAGAGACTGGCAGCAAGACGGACAACAGACCTAATGGGTGAAAAGACACAAGAACATTCTTGAGATACGTATGACAACAGGTTACAGCTTGAGTTTGAATAAACACAGTGCTTCATAAAAGAGTTTTAACCTCACAACATTTTGTCACAGAGTAGGAAACATTTTACTGGGATTTTATGTGATAACATAACGCAATTTCTATGTTTTCATCCAACCGTGATACAGATGTTGAGCAAATTATTATAACTCTGACAACTAAGAGTATACAATTGAGAAAAAAGGGGTTTTTCATCCACCGGCTTGGAGCCAATCATCCGGACTTTAAAGCGTATTTTCATCAAAAGTTGACGTAACGGATGACCACAATAAAAGCAAAGTAAAGGTTGTAAACTAACATATGGAAGTAAATCTGTGTCGCTGGGATTTGAATTAAAAATGCCACTTAAATTTAAATGTTGTATGTTTGTACTTACTGTTTCGGTGTTAAATTTTTTTTTAGATTGCAAATCACTCCAGGCTCTGTTCTGTTCCTTGGTCTTACCTCATTTAATTTACTGTGGTAAATTAGGTATGGGGAAGCACATATAAAAGTTCACTAGAGCCACTGTTCATATTGCAAAAAAGAGCCATCAGAATAATTCATAAAGTTGGATATCGAGAACACACTATTTCTAATGTCTAAAATCATGAAGCTTTATGATATGATAGAATTCCAAACAGCACAATTTCTATTTAAAGCTAGAAATAAGCTATTACCAAGTCACTTGACAAATTTGTTTTATGAGAGAGAGGGGGTGGGGGGGGGGGGTATGATTTAAGGGAGATAACTAATTTTAAGATTCAAAGATACAGAACTGAAAGGAAAAGATTTTGTATAACAAATAGTGGAGTGAGGCTATGGAACAGACTGAGCATGGATTTGAAGCAATGTCCAAACATCAACCAGTTTAAAAACAAATATAAACAAATGATTTTTACAAGATACAGGGAGGAGGGGACTTAAGGGGGAATAGAACTTGCTCTGCCACTATGAATTAAAATCGATAAGAAGTCAAGAGAGATGAAAAACTATATCAAAAAAGGGTTTTTGGTTTATGGATATGTATAGATATATGTGTACGTATATGTAGATAGAGATATGTGTATACTGCCTATAGTTATGTGGGTGTGTATGTATATGCATGTATGTGTGCATGTGTATGAGATACGGGTGTATGTGTATATATATATATATATATATATATATATATATATATATATATATACACTATATTGCCAAAAGTATTTGCTCACCTGCCTTGACTCACATATGAGCTTAAGTGACATCCCGTTCCTAATCCATAGGGTTCAATATGACGTCGGTCCACCCTTTGCAGCTAGAACAGCTTCAACTCTTCTGGGAAGGCTGTCCACAAGGTTTAGGAGTGTGTTTATGGGAATTTTTGACCATTCTTCCAGAAGCGCATTTGTGAGGTCGCACACTGATGTTGGACGAGAAGGCCTGGCTCTCAGTCTCCGCTCTAATTCATCCCAAAGGTGTTCTATCGGGTTGAGGTCAGGACTCTGTGCAGGCCAGTCAAGTTCATCCACACCAGACTCTGTCATCCATGTCTTTATGGACCTTGCTTTGTGCACTGGTGCACAGTCATGTTGGAAGAGGAAGGGGCCAGCTCCAAACTGTTCCCACAAAGTTGGGAGCATGGAATTGTCCAAAATGTCTTGGTATGCTGAAGCATTCAGAGTTCCTTTCACTGGAACTAAGGGGCCAAGCCCAGCTCCTGAAAAACAACCCCACACCATAATCCCCCCTCCACCAAACTGTACACTTGGCACAATGCAGTCAGACAAGTACCGTTCTCCTGGCAACCGCCAAACCCAGACCCGTCCATCAGATTGCCAGATGGAGAAGCGCGATTCGTCACTCCAGAGAACGCGTCTCCACTGCTCTAGAGTCCAGTGGCGGCGTGCTTTACACCACCGCATCCGACGCTTTGCATTGCACTTGGTGATGTATGGCTTGGATGCAGCTGCTCGACCATGGAAACCCATTCCATGAAGCTCTCTGCGCACTGTTCTTGAGCTACATGAAGTTTGGAGGTCTGTAGCGATTGACTCTGCAGAAAGTTGGCGACCTCTTCGCACTATGCGCGTCAGCATCCGCTGACCCCGCTCCGTCAGTTTACGTGGCCTACCACTTCGTGGCTGAGTTGCTGTCGTTCCCAAACACTTCCATTTTCTTATAATACAGCTGACAGTTGACTGTGGAATATTTAGGAGCGAGGAAATTTCACGACTGGATTTGTTGCACAGGTGGCATCCTATCACAGTTCCACGCTGGAATTCACTGAGCTCCTGAGAGCGACCCATTCTTTCACAAATGTTTGTAAAAACAGTCTGCATGCCTAGGTGCTTGAATTTATACACCTGTGGCCATGGAAGTGATTGGAACACCTGATTCCAATAATTTGGATGGGTGAGCAAATACTTTTGGCAATATAGTGTATATACACCCGTATCTCATACACATGCACACATACATGCATATACATACACACCCACATAACTATACATGTATGTGTGTATGTATGAATGTGTGTGTGTGTGTATATATATAGATATGTATGTATGCTTAAACATAGGTAGATGTTAATATAGAACAGGGGTAGGATTTAATAAGTTTTATTACTTCTTCCTACTCCTTTTTGAACATGATGGTATGTACATATGCTTTTTTTCTTTTTTGTTTTGTTTTGTAATGACTTTATTAATTTACTTATATTTGCTTTTTATTAAGTGTTCGAAATAAATGATCAATCAATCAAAAAAGTATATTCAGAACACATTGTTGACCTAAAAAAAATTGTCATCATTTCTACACACTTGAAATTTCATTTGTTATTTTTAAGGCTGTCAAAATTAACGCGTTAACGCGAGATGATTAATTTCTGGGATTAACGCAAGATATTTTTTTAACGCATTAACGCTGTTTTACCCACAACTCAATTGTCCGACATGAGCGAGATGGAGGATTAAGAAGAACCCTTTGGCCGGCTGGATGGACAGTTCGTGAATAAAAAAAACAAAGACGGGACAATAAATAAACATGTTGTGGTTTGCTCACACTGCAAGAAGGACTTTTCGTTTCACCGAAGCACCTCGAGCCTTAAATATCATCTTAATGCCAAGCATTCCTTTGTTGGGGCTTTAACTTCAGCTGTTACAACGCATGCGTCAGACCGCCCTCACCGAACGCAGGGCATTAAGTAACGGTCCGCTTTACATTCAGAAGATGTCAGGTGGAAAGTAACGAAATACATTTACTCAAGTTACTGTATTGAGTAGGTTTTTGGTGTATTTTGTATTTTTCAAGTAGTTTTTAAAATCGGTAATTTAAATTTTACTTGATTACGTTTTGAGTGAAGTATTGTATTTCGTTACATTACAAATCCCATCCGTTACTGAGTAAAAAAAAAACTTTGGAAAACCGAAAGGAAGACAAAAAATAGGGCCCGGAAGCACTACAGCGAGTGACGTGATCAGCAGGTAAATCTTTCTTTAGGAGATTGGGAACGAGATGGAGGTGGATCAGGAGAGCAACAACGGTTCAGAGAACGTTTCACTAGAAATGCTAGCTGAAACATCGAATTCTGCTGTCCAAAACGACGAAAATCCTCGGCCACATTTGAAAGACTGCTTTTCATTTAAATTCAAGAGGGCCAACAGTATCATCATGCAATGCCAGACGGTCTGCCAAAGGTGACTGAACTGGCAGCAACTAAATAGTTTTGAATTTATGATTTATGACTCCTTGTCCTATTTTCACTACACGGGAGAGATCCCTGCCCCGTTTAACAGTTGTTGTTTTTTTTAAATGTAACTAAGTAACTTTTATTTAAAATACATTTTAAATTAGCTACTTATTACTTTTACATGAGTAATTTTTCTGATGGGTAATTTTACTTGTACTTGAGTAATATTTCATCCAAGTATTGGTACTTTTACCTGAGTATGATAGTTTAGTACTTTTTCCACCTCTGGAAAATGTAAACCAGTTAGTTTGCCTTAACAACTGGCTAAAAGATGAATAAATAAGAGGTAAAATTACCTCATGTAATTGTTTAAAAGTCAAGCTGTTTGTTTTAAACGAAAAACATTCCATTCGTCCATCCTGTATTTGCTAAAAAAAAAAAGCAATTGCTAAATTGCCACAGAAAATGTGTATTTTTCAATAATATTTAGGCTAGCGATTAATCAAAATTAATTCAAGAAACCTTGTGATTAATTAGATTAAAAATTGTAATCGTTTGACAGCCCGTGTTATGTTGTCTTCAACATAAAAATTCACATTACTATTTCAAAGTGATTACATTTTCAATACTTATTTTTCAGTTTAATTTTTGAGTGTTAAAAAAATCTGCATATTAAAAAATTCAACCTTTCAAAATTCAAACTCAATATTTTCAGCCTCCTGAGATTCAACTGGCTCTATTTCACTGTCTTAAATTCGGCGTCTAAATTCAGTGTAAAAAGGGAAGGGTTACTTCAGGTCACAGACATTAGCAATGGATTGTGGCGTCCAACACCCAGCCAATCCCGTTACGTTTTCTTAGTCACGTGACGTGGCACATCATACTGAAGGAAAACCAGCATGACGGAGCCGGTCGTGCAAGCTAACGCTAACTCAACTACAGAAAAATGAAAGTAATAAACTCACCGTTGAGTTAGCGTTAGCTTGCATGACCGGCTCCGATTTTTTTAACACTCAAAAAAATAAGTATTGAAAATGTAATCACTTTGAAATAGTAATGTTAAAATTTTTAGCTTGAAGAGAAAATAACTGAAATTTCAACAGTGTAGAAATAATGACAATGAAATTTTTTAGGTCAAAAATGCGTTCTGAATATATTTTAACACTGAAACAGTAAGAACAAAGATAAAACATTTAAATTTCAGTGGCATTTTTAATTCAAATCCCAGTGACACAGATTAACTTCCATACTAACACAGACCGCTTATCTGAGAAAAAGAGAAAGGCCAAACGGCGATGGGGGCAGAACACATGGGAGAGATGTATAACCGCTGATGGTGGAAACAGCTGATCAGTCATGAGGTAAGCGTTTGATACGCAAGAACTTTAGGAAACGTGTTTCCATCTCCTTTTTTTCCTATAATAACCACCTCAAGCGAGCGAAAAAAAAAAGCTTTTTTATAAATGTAGGAAGTTATTTTGAATTTTGCTGTTTCCATTAACAAACACGGTTTTCTCGGCCGTCCTGGTGGTCTGTAGGGGAAATACCGTACTTGCAATTGCAGGAGCCCTCGGCCCGCACCCACAGGCTCAGAAGTCTCGTGCATCGCGAGAGTCGGTCTTGCTTTACGGCGAAAACTGCTACACGCCCCCAGTGAAAGGCATACTCGTTGCTAGCGCAGTGGCGATATTTGTGCAGTTATCATGGCGGAACCAGCGAGAAAACCAGCGAAATTTTCAAACTCGAAAATTGGAACAAAATAGTCAGTCACCGCAGTAGACATGGTGATTCGTTGCGTTCGCCTGTCTGCTAAGCTCAAAACAACCGCGCCTGGCTTGATGGAGAAACCAGGAGAACAGCTAAGCATATTTACGACAGTGCACTTTTACTTTCGCCCTCTGGGGGGAGCCTCGCTGGAAAATCAACAACGGTTGCATAGTATACCTTTAAAAAAGGACTGAAATGTAGCTAAGTTAGCATATGATAGATAAGTTTAATATTTATTTAAAATCTTTGATACGAATTGGAAATTGGGGCTTGGTTGAAGACTAATACATGCTAGACTTGTCACTAAAGCAAATCTTAAGGAGTATTTTCTTTCAACTTCACCATTACCCACTGATTGGTGTCGGCCACATAAATTCCGAATAAAATGTTTCATGTTTATAGCTGCGGCAAAATGCACAGAAGTCAACTTCTGTAAAGCACTGCAACCTTTTTCTTTGTATCCCAATAACGACAAACGTTGCAGAAAACATATTCAGTACCAAAAAAAAAAAAAAAAATGTTATCATCCACATCCCAACGCCTCAATTAAATTCTGAAAACTCCAAAAACCAACTTTGCTTTCCTACAATTATTTTAATGTTCACACATTTTTGAATTCATCACTTGTGAGATTGAATGCAGTCTGTTAGCTGCTTCCTCTGGCCTGCAGGAATCCTATGAGGAAAAAAATGGCACACTGAGATGGCAGTTATCTAAACATTCACAAAGCCAGGGATTACTAAAGACACACAAACAGGATTTACATTTCTTAAAGCAATGGTGGAAGCGTGGGAAACACCACAAATGGAGTTGTGTATAAGCCGAAACACAACTTACTCTTATTATATGCTGAAAAAAAGGTCCTTATTGACTAGGATACGTGAGAAGTTAGTGTATTTCATCATTGAATTGGGAAGATAAAAAAAGCGAGGCTAAGAAATCAACAAAATATTAAAGTTTAAAAGGCATGGCATGCTGTCAAAGCACTGATCCTTGGAAAACCCATTTCAAGCCTCACTTGCTGGCCCATGTTAGGGAAATGAGAGCGTATACACAGATCGGTATGGATGGCATTTCTGCCGTAGCAAAACAAAACAAAACAAAAATCTAGTTTATTCCCAAGATCATTTCTCTCTGCTAAAATGTTGATGAATTAAACAGCATACAATAAAAGTTGTCATGTCAGGAAAGACATTTGAAGCAAACCATGAGTACAGAAAGCACCGGCCACTGATGAGAGGAACAATAATTCAGTTATGAGATATGGCAACCACCTACACTACAATATTTAGTCAGTATTTGTATTTGAGGCCAGCAGCAAACCACAATTTAAATAGAAATGGGACATTTTCTAAATGACTCAACATGATAGAAGGTCTAAATAGTAGACAGCAGCCCTTTCCCTACTTTGTGAACCGGTTTGCTCAACTATGAAAAAGCTCTTCCAGCCACCTTAAGTTCCTTTTATAAAAGGACCTAAGGTGAGACTCAGTTCGATTGAATTTGCAGAGCATGGCCGGACTTTGAGTAATTGTGGGAGGGGGGGGTTCAGCCGCTGTGGTTTAATGTGAAGAGAAAGCCAACACTGACCAAAAGCTTTGGATTACATCCAACTCTAGATACCTACAAGCATCCTAGCTGGCTCGCCAAACTCCTCACTGTGTGAGTCAAGTTTTTAGGCTACTAAATCAAATGAATACACTAAATTTGTTTTTATAGATATTTTTTTCTTCTATTACGAGAATAAAGTCATAACATTATGAAAATAAAGTCCTAAAATTACGAGAAACAAGTTGTATTTTATGAAAACTCTTACAGGAAGCACATTCTTTCCAAAAATGAGGAATGTCAAGAAACCTGAGTGTTAAACGTTTGTGCAGCAAAAATTTTCGTTTGTGCCGCTATCTTTTTTTTTTACAGTGTAAATATAAATTCTAAGTTGCTAACCTGTGATTACAGAATTATATAATCATAGGTTAGCAACTAATTTATATGAAATTCAGAGTTTCAGAATGAACAAATGTTCACCTTTGATGGCTTCTACAAACAATTATTGATATCATTAAAATGATAGCAGTACAAAAAATTTATATATTTTCAAATATGCATTTTAAAATTTTTAATATATTTATTTAAAATATTTTATATTTAAAATTAATTTCAAAATTTTATGTTTTTGTATGGCAAAAATTTTAATTTGTACTGCTATCATTTCAATGATATTAATAGAATTATTTGACACCAATTTTGTCTAATTTGAAGAAGGTGGGCGGCTGGTTGACCTTTTGACCTTTACATTTTCATTAATATATTCAAAGCTAAAGAAGTACCAAAACCAATTTTTGCTGCACAAACCAGCACAAACGGAGCAGAGTTAATTGACACCCATTTTGTCTGATTTGACCTTTGATGACCTCTAGAAACATTTCTTTATATCTTTAAAATGGTAGTGGCACAAACGAAAATTTTTGCTGCACAAACGTTTGACACTAATTTGTCAAATTTGAAGAAGTTGTGGGGGCCAACTTCACTCAGGTTGTCAAGAATTATGTGAAGTTATAATTTGTTTCTGGTTTGACAAATAAGGAAATCTTTTAGTGGACTCAGGTTGCTGATTGGCGGAGCTGGTCTGACATCATCTGCTGGGCGGAGCTCCAAGCTTTCTTTCTGAAACGGGTTGTTAACTTTATTCTTGTAATATTACACCTTTTTTCTCTAATGTTACAACATTATTCTCAGAATTTTACAACTTTATTCTCGTAATATTACGACTTTATTCTCAAAATAATAAAAAATAAATAAATCTCTAGCCAGGCCGTAATACTCTGTCATGAAAGGTAGCTTTTTTTGTACAATCAAATAAAAAGACCCCAATTTAATTTCATGCTTTAGCTTAAAATAAAAATAGGAATGATGACCATGATGAATTATGAGATGTTGTTGGCTGACTAAGTCACAGCTCACACAGCTCTCCAGCGAGCCAGTTAGCTAGGCAACAAAAACATGCAGGAGCAGTTACCATGTTGCCTGCTGAACTTTACCTGTTTCCCATTCACCAGAATTGTGGTGATGTGAGGAGCTATAGAGCTGGCAAACTTCTTGGTAATAGCAGCAGCATGCCGCACTGCCAGCCTGTAGTTTATTCAGATCACGTACCAGTTATTTTAATTAGTTGGAAAGTAGGGACAATGTGATTAAATGAGTTTCAGACAAAAAATAACAAATATATTAAAAACTTTTTTTTTTTTTCTGGAACAGATCTGTTTCATTAAACCATAAAGGCATTAAATGCTACTAAAAACATATTCAGTGGTTATGTTTTGGACACCTAAACATGATACAGTAGTTGGTGTTTCAGTGAGAATACCAGACCAAAGCTTTCTGCTTCCAGCTCGTCTGTAGATTCTCTCCAGTTCCTCCATCAGGTTCTCTGAAATCACAAATATGATCCAGTTCATAAATTGTCCAGAACATATTTATTAGGAGCTTAAATAAAGGAAATCATAAAACATTAATAGCATTGGAAACAATGAAATCCCACCTCCAGCCTTCATAGGCTGTTATGTTGTGGGTTTAGATGTTTTTCTGCTTCCAGACAAATGTATTCAAAGCAATTTAATCAACAATCTCTAGCAAAACTTCACATCATCGTCATCTTCAAGATTTTTAGAAATGTTTGAAAGTTGCTCCTATATTATATTGCATAAACAGTATAAAGACAGCAATAGAAGAACTTTCTAGTCTGATTTAATCCAGCATCAATAAAATAGAATAAAATATCTGTTGGACAGTGAGGAAAAAGTTTTTATTATTTATAAAGTCAATATACAGGTGCTGGTCATAAAATTAGAATATCATGAAAAAGTAGATTGATTTCAGTAATTCCATTTAAAAAGTGAAACTTGTATATTATATTCATACATAACATACAAACTCATATATTTCAGATGTTTATTTTGTTTAATTTTGATGATTACAAATGACAACAAATGAAAATCTCAAATTCATCATATCAGAAAATTAGAATATTGTGAAAAGGTTCAAAATTGATGGCCCCTGGTGCCACACTCTAATCAGCTAATTAACTCAAACCACCTGCAAAAGCCTTTAAATGGTCTTTCAGTCTAGTTCTATAGGCTACACAATCATGGGGAAGACTGCTGACTTGACAGTTGTCCAAAAGACGACCATCGACACCTTGCACAAGGAGGGCAAGACACAAAAGGTCATCGCTAAAGAGGCTGGCTGTTCACAGAGCTCAGTGTCCAAGCACATTAATAGAGAGGCGAAGGGAAGGAAAAGATGTGGTCGAAAAAAGTGTACAAGCAAGAGAGATAACCGCACCCTGGAGAGGATTGTGAAACAAAACCCATTCAAAAATGTGGGGGAGATTCACAAAGAGTGGACTGCAGCTGGAGTGAGTGCTTCAAGAACCACCACACACAGACGTATGAAAGACATGGGTTTCTGCTGTCGCATTCCTTGTGTCAAGCCACTCTTGAACCACAGACAGCGTCAGAAGCGTCTTGCCTGGGCTAAAGAGAAACAGGACTGGACTGCTGGTGAGTGGTCCAAAGTCATGTTCTCTGATGAAAGTAAATTTTGCATTTCCTTTGGAAATCAAGGTCCCAGAGTCTGGAGGAAAAGAAGAGAGGCACTTCATCCACGTTGCTTGAAGTCCAGTGTAAAGTTTCCACAGTCAGTGATGGTTTGGGGTGCCATGTCATCTGCTGGTGTTGGTCCATTGTGTTTTCTGAGGTCCAGGGTCAACGCAGCCACATACCAGGAAGTTTTAGAGCACTTCATGCTTCCTGCAGCTGACCAACTTTTTGGAGATGCAGATTTCATTTTCCAACAGGACTTGGCACCTGCACACAGTGCCAAAGCTACCAGTACCTGGTTGAAGGACCATGGTATCCCTGTTCTTAATTGGCCAGCAAACTCTCCTGACCTTAACCCCATAGAAAATCTATGGGGTATTGTGAAGAAGAAGATGCAATACACCAGACCCAACAATTCAGAAGAGCTAAAAGCCACTATTAGAGCAACCTGGGCTATCATAACACCTGAGCAGTGCCACAGACTGATCGACTCCATGCCACGCCGCATTGCTGCAGTAATACAGGCCAAAGGAGGCCCAACTAAATACTGAGTGCTGTACATGCTCATACTTTTCATGTTCATACTTTTCAGTTGGCCAACATTTCTATAAATCCTTTGTTTTTATTGGTCTTCAGTAATATTCTAATTTTCTGATATGATGAATTTGAGATTTTCATTTGTTGTCATTTGTAATCATCAAAATTAAACAAAATAAACATCTGAAATATATGAGTTTGTATGTAATGTATGAATATAATATACAAGTTTCACTTTTTAAATGGAATTACTGAAATCAATCTACTTTTTCATGATATTCTAATTTTATGACCAGCACCTGTATGTTGTTGGCTACGGAAGAGGATTAGGGCCACTGAAAAAAAAAAAGTTAACTGATTTTTAAATTTTATTTCAGTTTAGTATGTGGAAAAAGTCAGAATTCTGACTTTTTTTCTCAGAATTCTGACTTTAATTTCAGAATTCTGACTTTTTTCTCAGAATTCAGACTTTTTTCTCAAAATTCTGACTTTTTCTCAAAATTCTGACTGTAATCTCAGAGTTCTGACTTTTTTCTCAGAATTCTGACTTTTTTCTCAGAGTTCTGACTTTTTTCTCAGAATTCAGACTTTTTTCTCAGAGTTCTGACTTTTTTCTCACAATTCTGACTTTAATTTCAGAATTCTGACTTTAATCTCAGAATTCTGACTTTAATTTCAGAATTCTGACTTTAATCTCAGAATTCTGACTGAATTCTGATAATAAAAAAGTCAGAATTCTGACTTTAATCTCAGAATTCTGACTTTAATTTCAGAATTCTGACTTTTTTCTCAGAATTCAGACTTTTTTCTCAGAGTTCTGACTTTTTTCTCACAATTCTGACTTTAATTTCAGAATTCTGACTTTAATCTCAGAATTCTGACTTTAATTTCAGAATTCTGACTTTAATCTCAGAATTCTGACTGAATTCTGATAATAAAAAAGTCAGAATTCTGACTTTAATCTCAGAATTCTGACTTTAATTTCAGAATTCTGACTTTAATCTCAGAATTCTGACTTTTTTCTCAAAATTCTGACTTTAATCTCAGAATTCTGACTTTTTTTACTGTCAGAATTCAGTCAGAACTCTGAGAAATAAAGTCAGAATTCTGACTTTTTTCCCATACTAAACTGAAATAAAATTTAAAAATCTGTTAACTTTTTTTTTTTTTCCAGTGGCCCTAATCCTCTTCCGTAGTTGGCTGTAGATGTGCTGAAGCGGACAGAATAGGGCCCTGAAAATGAAAGACTTCTTAGATTACTGTATAATTTCTCCCCTGTTGCTTTTCTAGACTCGGACTGACCGACTCATTTGCAGCGAACATACCGTCTTTAGCCAGGAAGTCTGGTCCTTCTCTTCTAAGAAGGATGCTGGCAAGTTGGGCCTGACTGGCCAAGCAGCCAGAGTCCTACAGAAAAACCCAGAGAATAAAGAAAATAAAACTGGCCTCACATGTAAAACTGATATTCATTAGGAAGAAAGATGAACAAATAATTAACTGCATTATACAATTGTTATAAGAGTCAAAAGGAGAGGAGTAATCGTTAAAAAAAATGTCTCAATCATATCAGCATAGAAATACAATTATTTGATCCAAAGTTTAACATTTTATTAAGCTTTATTTGTTGATTATTTTAAATGGACACTAATTATCTGGGTCATTGTTCTGTTGAACCGTCAGCTTACATGAAACTTCTGCAGGATCTCATATGTGGGTTTGTTCTGCCACTCCTCCACACTGATCTCCGGCTGCTGCTCCAGGTCCGAGGCGTTGGGCGTGCTCGTCTGCCTCTTCACCTTTGAGTGCTTCGGCAGCTCCAGCTCCTCAAAGCTCTTAAACTCTGGAATCCTTTGCAAACAAAATGGACGGTAGATGTGGAAGATAGAGATGGAAAGTAGTTAGAAATCCCACATGCCAGCCTGCAGTTTATTCAGATCACGTACCAGTTATTTTAATTACATGGAAAGAGGGGACAATGTGATTAAATCAGTTTCAGAAAAAATATATTTCAAACGTTTTTTTTTTTTTTAAGACAGGATTTTTTTTAAATAGAAATTTTCTAAATTTTGGGACAACTTCGTCTGATAAAGAGTACATTTATATACATGTTTAAGCCAGAATGATTTGACATTTAAACATGACTTCCCTACGACTTTAACACTTAAACAAACCTATAGCCTATAGATAAAAACAAGATTTTAAGTATGGATGCTATTATCCCATCAAAAGCTTTTTGGTTTCAGATGAAACCGAGAAAAAAAAAATAATAACCTGAGTTTTCACTTTTACTGCAATCTTGAGACCAAGAATAGAGATGAAAACAATCACATTTAACGAAGCGAGCATGAAGACGAGAGGGAAGCTCTTACTCTGCCTCATTGACGCGAAGGAAATCCAGCTGCTCCACAAATGCTCCTGATATCAGGGTCTATGAAGCAGATGGAAAAAACACATTTAAAGAAATTGTTCTGGTGATATGACCCACCCCACCAAGAGAAATCGAAGCCATAGTGGATCCATAATGCTTTATGTGCCAGCATGAGGTTTGTCAGGTGATTCTGTAAACATGATTCTGATATAAATGCTGAGAAAAAAGAAACGAGGCCCCGCAGCAAGGTACAAACCGACATCACATCTCTATTCTTATAAAAATGCATTGCTCAAGTGACATAAAACCATGCTAGGAAAAACAGTTGGTGCTTCTCAAAAGGTGAATAAAATAATTTCCGTCCTCCTGAGGTCCAAATGTGATATTAACCATTCCAGCTGAAGTCAACTCAAAAACAAAACTAAGAGGCGCAGGAGAGGAGCAGTAGTGTTCTGCTCCCCATAACAATGAGACGATGAAGGGCAGAAGTGTTTCAAAGCCGTGAGAGTTAGCTGTGAACAGAATAGCAAATGGGCAATGGGAAGACAGAAATGCTAGAGCAAAAGAAAAAAAAGTAAAAAGGATAATTCTTTGCTGAGCATCACAAAAACACTCTGCTGGAGCCAGAAAGCTCGTCAGGAGTTTGATGATAAGTTTAATTTAACAATATGGAAAGAAGTCTTAGTTCTACCCTGGCCTGATTTACCGAAAAGCTCATTAATCTCAGTGAAATGTCTGCAAGTTAGACTTACAGCATACATTCATGTCAATCCTAAACTGCATTACTGCAGGAACTTTTTAATAATATCAGAGAGTGGACAGGACTGCTCTCTAGGGATGGGGATTGTTAATATTTATTGATATCGATACCTTTATCGATACTCCTTATCGATACTTTTCTGTTATTTGGTGGAAAGACGATGCGACAATATGTTTTTAACAGACAGGAAGGAAGTGGGAAAAAAAATTATTTGAAGAAATGTCCTATATTTTGAAGAAATGTCTTCTTTTGGTTTAAAAAAATATATACATTTTCACAATTGTTGGTTAATGTATTGTCTACTGTCACTTTTCATCATGTTTTTAGTGATTAGGAAAATATTTAGCAAATAAATAATTGTATTTTAAATTAAATGTAATTTTTAATAAATGTTGGCATCAGTAGTTTAATTATACATTCTAAAATAATTAGAGCAATATACAATTGTATTACTCATGTTTCTCACCAAAAACTCAATTTCCCTTTTCTTTACGTTACACTTGAACGCATCATGATAACCTAATTGTCGTTTTACTGAGCCAATCTGAACACATCATCACACAGCACGTCTGAAACTTTATTTACTTTTCAAGCTAACTAGCTTGCATGCTGCCGATTACAACACGGATTTCACAATTACTCTTTTTAACTGACCGGACAAGCTACAAAGTCTGTGTGCGCGCTTACCAGTGGTACTCTGAGTGGATGATGAAGACGGGCCCGACTGTGGTGCGGCGGCAGCAGCAGGAGGAGGAGGAGGAGTCTTTTCAAACCGGAGACAGTCGAAGGTACTGCATTTGGCCTTTATTTGATGCACAATACTAATGTGCTTGGCCATTGAGGTTGTGTCCCCCCCTTTAAAAGAGATGATTTTGCAACATAAGTTGCATTTCGCTTCTTCTTTATCTTTGAGCTTGGTAAAATGAAGACAAACTTTAGACCTTTTCGTCCGTTCATTCATCCTCGAGTCGCGAGCGAAGTTAACTGCCAGACTTCACTTGTTTTACTTTTAATATCTGTTTGCTTACAATTTCATTCCAAAACATTGGTGGACATGCTGCAGTGATTGGATTGATTAGATTTAAACGCTGTGACGCAACTCGAGGGACACACAATTATGTTACAGGACCTCCGGGAGAGAAAAAAACAAAAAACGACCAGACTCGATAGTGGTATCGATACGCCCAAACGTTATTGATTTTCGGGTTTTGATAAAATTGTGGAACCGGGTCCTTGATAGAACCGGGTTTCGATCCCCATCCCTACTGCTGTCACTGCAGCTGTTCACTCAATAAAGCAGATTCTAACATACCTGAAGTCTGTCGACGTGAACTTTGACCCCTCCGATGACTCCCTTCTTGAAAGAGGCCAGCATGTCCAAAACAGGATTGAAGCGGCTCCCTCTGGTTAGATGAGAAAATTGCAGTTAAAGCCCCCAATTAGACGTCCCCCTACATAGGTTGTCACCAGCAGAACAGTTTTTGTTAGTATTTGATATTTTACATAAGTTACACTACATGTTTGTGGTGACATAAGATAGGGTACAGAAACAAGAGATTATATCTTCATACAATTATTTGTTTTCTTCCTGCTTTTTTCTTTTTGTGTGTTTTATCAACATTCTCCTTTGAAAGGTGTTTGAAGGAGTAATTCATTACCGCCAGAGCAAACAGCTGACCTGTATGTGAGAACACTCAATGCATTTCTTGACAACGTTGCAACAATAAAACACTTCAAGATGAAAAAAAAGGACCAGAGTTAAGATTTAAATATTAAAGATCCTTAGGGATCATTTCCAGCCAAATTTGTCTGGCTGATACGCTCAATAAAGACGATTATTTTGTGTAGAAGTTTCCTCACCATGCAGACATTATGACAAGTTGGTCCAATGATTGCAGCTACAGTCCAACCTTAACCAACATCCTTTCTGTCACTATCAAACGGAAGAAGGATTAAATATCTTTGCTAAACAACAAGAGGAACAAAGTTATTCGTATAAGCTAAAGTAGCATAGAAAATCACAATTTGTTTAAGTGGATACAAGCAGGATGCTACAACTACTCATTTTATAGGAGTTGAATTTGCACAGAATATTTTTCTGATAGAACAATTTCACTTGGATTTAGACCAAAGTTCTGAAAGCCATTTGTATTTCATAGCTTGATGATAATCAGTAATTTTTCCTATACATGGTAGGGCTGAGCTCCTTGCAACTCAAATGATATTTGTGGCCTTTAAAGTGTTAATTGAAGCTGATCGACTCAGTTTTTGCACCTCATTATCTGTCCTCATTGGCCCAAACACACCAAACAGAAATTATCTGGGCTGTAAGGGATCTAAACAAGGGAGGTAATGTCTCTCCGTCTCCATTCGTGTATTAAGAAACTGGTGCAACGAGGCGACAGTTGTATACCCTCCCCCTCCTGCTGAGCGACTGGTAAAATTTGTGATTGTGAAAATTCGACTTCCTACTTGCAGACATGCATGGAGTGGGATTTCGACCCCAAAAAGTCGAAAAATGTTTAACTTGTGTCGCTGTTGCCAATCAGTGAAGGTCGCATCGGCTGACCAGAGATAGCAGAGGGTCCTTCATACTGCAGCACCAATCCAGCTTCAACATGAAGCAAAATATTTAAGTCATGTTTTACTTTCTGCTTTTATAAGTCACTTCACATATGCAGAAGTTTGCCCTGAAACATTTTTCTAACTCAGGGTTCCTACAGCATAAGGAAAGTTAAATTCAATACTTTTTAAAACTTTTTAATGCCACCTGAAATAAAAATTTAAGACCAAATTCATATGAAACACAAGAAAAACCTGCTTGCGACAACTTAACCCAAAGGTTTATTTTAACATAAACCACTGCACTAATGTTTCAAATTTGGAAAAGCTTCCCATACAGGAAGAAAGCTAAAAACACACAAATGACAGATATATATTAACAATTATTTAACTGAATTCACAAACTTTGTTTTAGCAGGGAACAAAACAAATCAGATTTAAAGCCACAACATAACCAGTGCTAAGTCTTTTTTGCAGCTATTTTTCTTTGTATGGTTTTCTTAGTATGTTTGATTTTGGTGATAAGTGGAGGCGTTGCAGAGACAAGGGTGGAACTAAACTGAGAAATACCGGCTGTTTCTCGGTAACTTGATTTTGTATTTCACGCTTCGCATGTCCGACTCCACTAACCTGACTCCGCCAGATGGATTTGCTCCGCATATCCATCTGGAAACCTTCCGTTGAAGTAATTTTGGGAAGGGGCGAAAATACTGGTTAGCTGATTGGCCTATGTTGGTGATAGACGGGCCAAATAAACCAATCAGATCAACGAAGCATATGACGTACTAACAGAGCGACGACAAAGAGGAGCCAATTGATAGATCAAACTCTTGCGGAAACCAGTCAGCAGAAGAGCAAAAACATCTTTTCCTCTGAGAAAAGCCTCCAGAGCAGTGTTTTGCTCTTCTTTCAGTGAAGAAATACTCTGTAACTCCGATAAAACTTGCTCGATAGCCACGCTAACGCTAGTTTCATCAGCTGAAGCCGCCATGTTCTTTAGACTGAACTTTCGCGCTTCTCGTTGCGTCACACCTCAACCTATGAGGGGCCGTTTAGGACAGAAACTATTTTTCTCTCACGTACACCAATAAAACCATGCACACACCTCAGTAGACACACACACACAGTCAACAAAAATATGTTTTCCTCTCAAACACACTACTATGACATGCACACATCACAGTAAAAACAGTCACACACAATCACAAAACTAAAATTGAATATATGTCTAATGTGTGTGTGTGTGCACTAATACTAGACTGTATGAGAGGGCATAAGTGTGTGTGTGCGTGAACTAATACTAGACTAAATGAGAGGATATACATATGTTTGTGTGTGTGCGTGTGTGTGTGTGAACTAATACTAGACTGAATGAGAGGCTATACATATGTTTGTGTGTGTGTGCGTGAACTAATACTAGACTGAATGAGAGGATATACATATGTTTGTGTGTGTGTGCGTGAACTAATACTAGACTGAATGAGAGGATATACATATGTTTGTGTGTGTGTGCGTGTGTGTGTGTGTGAACTAATACTAGACTGAATGAGAGGCTATACATATGTTTGTGTGTGTGTGTGTGCGCGCGCGCGCGTGTCTGTGTATGTGACTGATAGCGTAGCAGACTGAAGAGGCGGGGCAAATTGGCTAGCGCATGCGTGGAACCCAAACTGAGCAATACTAATGTGCATATCAACCCGCATATAATGTGCATATATTGTGCATATCAACTCATATCAACCCGCCTCAAAGTCAACGCTGATTGGACGTTCGTTTGGTGAACGGCTCCAAATTTTCTTTAACGGAGAGTCTCCAGACTGATCTGCGAGTGAAACCTTGAAAGCTCGCGAGATCAGGATGCAACAACGCTTTTATTGGTTCTGCTATCGGGACGGAACCAATAATGGAGAGCAGTTATTTATTTATTTTTTATAAAAAAAAAAAAATAATTTCAATTTTAACGTTTTATTAAGATTACAAAAATAAATCTTAATAAAAATAATCCTATTTATGATGTTTTAAAAATTAAGACCTACGAAAGACTGATTTAAGACATTTAATACCAATTAAGGCTTTATTTTTATTTTGAAAAATTCAATGCCTTTTAAGACTTTTTAAGGACCTGCGGGAACCCTGTAATCAGTCATTGATGCCTTTGTTTTCCACGACCTGCTTTGGAAACGTCAGATTTCCTCCAATTTCATAACCAATTGAAGTGACCTGAAAGGACAATTCATAACCTCTGTGTTTGTTATGCCCATTAATAGATTTTTTTAAAGCTTTGCATTTCGATAAGGGTAAATTTTATTAAATTTTTTTTATATATACTCTAATAATCCCAGAGGGAATTTACTTCTCTGCATTTAAACCATCCCCTTGGGGAGCAGTGGGCTGCTATTGTGAGGCGCCCGGGGAGCGTTGTGAGGTTAAGGGTCTTGCTCAGGGTCTGTGGGAGTGGGGGAATCGAACTCACAATCTCAGGATTTAAAGCCCTATGCCCTAACCACTAGGCGGCCACTCCCCCCGGTAAACACACCACTGAATAGGAACTTTAAAGCCGATTGTTTAATCAGTTCCTTTCAAGAAAAGATGTGGTCGATTTCAAACCGTATAAACCAGTAATCTAAAAATAAAATGCCTAAAACTTCCATATCATTCATTCAGATTTCTGTCACCTGCTGTATAGGTCATGGTCCCCTCGATGGCAGACTAATGACTATCGAGCTGCAGCTATGAACATCCACTGACTCATTTTTGGACTGGAGCGAGGCTGTTTAAACACTTGTAACGCATTTAACATATGGCTCCCTGGGTAACAGTCAATACCTCTGTAATCAGCCCACCAGCCAGGCTATAGTGATACAAATGAGACACATTATCACCCAATCAGCAGGCAAATACAGTAGCACCTTTCTGCTACAAAGATTAATGGCACACACAGAAAGGGAAAAAGGCTGGCAGCAGAGAGGGAGAAATAAATGTTAGATGAAAAACGTGAATTGGCTTCTCCAACGTTCTGGCGCAGGTTTGAGACGGTGGCAGATATAGAGATAGTGAGTGACACATAACGAGGCAGAGGATGAGAGAATGCTTTGAGAAAAATGATCACATGAAAAGAAAAACAACAGAAAAGATCTACGTTGGAGTGTGAGTGTGGATATTACTTGATGTTATCCTCGCGGATGAGAACCAGGAAGAGTGGACGTCCTTGCATCTTCCAGCACTGCTTGATGAACTGCAGGGCATTCTGCACGAACACAGAGCAACACATTCCTGCCGTAAAGCTTTCAATTTCCTTCATTTCTGTGTAACAACTGAGCGAGTGGCGTTTCTAAAGTTCGGCTTCCTCTTCTGTCAAGCTGGGTTTAAGTTGCAGAGCACCTCAGGCAGCTCAGCGTTAAAACCAAACCATGAGTTTGAAGAGGAAAGATCACAGTACGAGTTCTGAAAACACAGCTTAAAGTATCCCTGGAGTCACATAAGCATGTTACCAATGAAAAGAAATATCTAACATTTGGAAAACAGACCAGAGTAAAAACCCCTTACCTGAAAACTGGAACGTGGGTATTTGTTCTTAAAATTAAGATTATATAAGTTCTTAATTTATATATCATTACTAAATATAGTTTAATTTTTTTTTGTTTAGTTAAGATCTCCATTTAAGTTGACTGACATCAAGAAGTAGACTACAATAATTAAATTTGAATTTGACGAACTTTTATTTCCGGGTGGATCATCAAAATAAGTGGTCCTCCTAATTGTCAATCATTCTGGTGATATGTTTACCTAAGGACGTCTTACGTGCTCGCCCCGTTAGCTAGATTTTTCTGTGCATGCGCACTTTCAGACGTTTATCTGTTGTAAGCTACGGTTTCAGAGTCATTGAAGCTCACCTTTCTCACCGCGGTTCTTTGACAATAGCCGAGGGTCGTAAGAGAAAGAGTGACTACGAAGTGCATGAGAAGAAATTAAAGTTATAGGGAATTCATATATCTAAATGCCAAATCATTCTGGCTAAAACATGTACATAAAAGTACTCTTAATCATACGAAATTGTCCGAAAAAATAGAAAATTTCTATAAAAATCCTGTCTTGAAACCTGTGTTTTTTTCCGTTATCTTCTGCAGGCCAGTTAGTTCTACGTCAGCCGGAACACCTAAATTCGGCCAATCATATATCAACGGTAATCTGTAAATCAAATTTTTTTGGTCATAGCATCTTGATTCATATGTCGCAGCTAATATACGCAACGGTTGAAATCAGAATCATTTCCTTTCCCATTGAGTTGCGTCCCAGTGTTCACGGGGATGGACGTCTGTGTCTTTGGCAAACGTAGAGCTAACAGAACTGGCAGCGTTGCGAGGCAAGGGCTCAAACATGTACGGCTGGAAGCCTTCTACACCAAACCAAGCTTCTGCCGCCCTGGCGTCCTCTTCCACAACATCTTCGTCCCCGCTTTCCTCCTCTAAATAAAAATGGATGACGGAGGAGACTTATCCACGACCTCCAACACTAAACTCTCCTCCTCTTGCATGTTTCCGCTGTCCATAGAGTTTCTTGACAGTGTCATTTCTAGGTCACCAAATTAGTGCTACTTGGTCCCAATGGAATTTCCCATTGGGAACCTACTAGCACTAAGTTGCTAACTGGTTAGCAAGATGCTTCCGAGAAACCGGCCACAACCAAACTTGTTTGTGAACCTTCAGCATCAACAATCCCTTCCTCTTGATAATTGACCAACCACATTCACTTTATTCACTCGGTAACGTTAGGCACCACTCGGGAGTTTTCGCAAATGCAACAGTCAGAACAGTCGCTTCCCTAAAACTTTAAAGGCCTCAGAACAGGCAGATATTTTTTTATGTTCTCATACGGAGCATATAAGTGTCGTATGTTCTGGACTACAAGCCGCTACTTTTCCCCCACGCTTTGAACTATGCAGCTTATAACAAAGTGAGGCTTCTCTGTGGATTTTTCTTAACCACCAGGGGGGTTGGAAATGAAATAATAAAGGGGCTAATTTTCATTTAGCACAAGAACATGCTAGCAGTAGACACGACCGAGAACATATGTCCCAAATTCAAACATTTTGCCATTTATTTGCCGCATTAAAGCTGCCGAACCAATGAACAGACTGGGCTCAACCCCTTCAGAGCTGAAATGAAGAGCGGACAACGCCACATCTTTCATTAAAAGCTCTTACTGCTGCGAGCCAACAAGCTAACGGGAGCTAGCATTCTTCTTCATCCCTACTCCAGTGGCTATATGTAGAGCTCCCCCTAGAGGTTTAGTGGGAGACAGTTCAGTAGATATCAGCGGCTTATAGCCCGGTGTGGCTTATATACGTACGTTTCTAGTTTTTTTATTTTATTTAGTGGACTAGCTTACAGTGAGGTGCTCTCTATGGTCCAGAAAGTACAATAATAAATATATTCAAACCCCGAAAAGACTATTGTTATCAGTATCTCTGAAGATAGCAACCTTCTTTCTCCATTTCTTTCTCTTTCTCCTTTCCAAACCAGACAAGGTGAATGTATTTCAATCATAGAAGCTTTTACACATAAATGAAATCTGACATTGACTCACCTTAATGTCATCAATTAGAAGCATTACATCCTGAGACAAGTAGAAGTCACTTAGATCAAACACTATTGGGTAGCACACCACCGTCTTTCCCAGGATACGATAAATCTAAGAGACAGACACACACAAACACACACAGTTGCATTTGAAGATTGATGACCAATAAGTAGCTCCAAATGTATCATTGTGGGCAGCGTAGAAAACGAGCCATCAGTCCTTGAACTGAGGGAGGAGGCGACATGCAAAAGACACAAAACTACTTCTGGTAAGTTACAAATAATAGTTCATCGTACATACACACAGCTGGTAGAGAAAGGATGATGAGGATTATGTCCTCTGGCATCCTGCCTTCTTCCCCATAAATGTCCCATTATAATGTTGTCTTAGCAATGTGTTTGGAGCCATAAAGCAGTTGTTCGCTAATAGCTTTGTTACACTGAGTTTATCGAACGGTACAACTTATCCTAATGTTGACCTTCATTTAGCAGACACTGCGAAAAAAAACAACAAAAAAAAACACCTGAGGTAGTTGTGTTATACAACAGAATCGTAACATTAAGAGGATAAAATCTTAAAATTACGAGAATAAAGTCTTAACATTACGAGAATAAAGCGCAAAAAATACGAGAATAAAGTCGTAAAATTACGAGAATAAAGTCTTAACATTACGAGAATAAAGCGCAAAAAATACGACAATAAAGTTGTAAAATTACAAGATTAAAGTCGGAAAAGTACGAGAATAATGTCGTAATATTATGAGAAAAAAGTCACAAGGAGCATAGTCATAAAATTTCGAGAATAAAGTCGTAATATTACGAGAATGAAGTTGTAACATTACAAGAATAAAGTCACAAAATTACGAGAATAAAGTCGTAAAATTTTGAGAATAAAGTTGTAACATTGCGAGAATAAAGTCGTAATATTACGAGAATAAAGTCACAAAATTATGAGAATAAAGTCATAATATTCTTTTAACTTTATGTGTTTATTCTCGAAATAGAAAAAAAAATGTCTAGTCTGGCCCTAATACTCCGTCGTAATGTTAAAACGTATTAGGAGTTAAATTTAAAATAGGATATGTAAAGTATGTAAATCTAACGATCTACATTATATCTGTGTAAGTATTTCCATGTAGTGTGGACTGAAAAAAAAAAAAAAAAAAACACGAATGTTTTCGAGAAATCTTACAAATGAATTTCTTTCAGGAAATTTCTTTACCAACTTTAACCAGAGACTAAATTCCCGCACTTTCTTCCTTTCTCAGGATCACTCAGATTAGATTTGTAGCATCACTAAACAATAATCTGCAAGATAATAAAATGGATTTATAGTGAAGTAAAGAACTACTCATCCCACTGGTGGGAATAGTTTCATTTTTATTTAACAGAATGTTTCTAACACTTATATCTCTCAACAGAGAGTAAATCAATTTCAAAGGTGAATTGTTTTTTTATATTGAGATTATGATTTATACTGCATCAGAAACCAGCATATTAACAAGCATTTACAGTATCTTAGGTAATTAGTGAAACATCTTTATTGAATTTAGAGAAATCATAAAATAGTTATTTGCTGACCTCTTTTTTGCATTTCTCTACCAGCCTTTAAAAATTTATCTCAATTAACTGTTAAATAATGAGCAAGACCAAGAGAGGTCGGAAGCCCTTTGTGTCATCACCCTAATCTTAATATGGCTCCACAAGTTCTCTCTCAATTTAACATTCAGATTCCCACTGGCCCATTTACAAACACTCTGTTTACTTGTGGATGGATAAAATTAAGGGATTATTTCAAACCTTAACCTTCTATATCTTTGAATAATTTTGGACTCCACTACTTCAGGCTTTGACAAGGCCAGTTTGATATAAAATACATAACAAAAAACTAAACAATGCCAAAGTAGCCTTAGCGGCATCTTGTCCTGGTGGATGTGGAACCACAGCTTTACCGAGCAGTATCTCCCCTCATTTTGAAGAAAAATGTCCCCACAGCCTGATGCTGCAACCACCATGTTTCCCTATCAATATCACCTTTTTTGGAAGCTAAAAAACAAAAACAAAAAAAGAAACAGTTCCATCTTTGTTTTCTCTTCACAGTTATGCACTACATGTCAGTCTGACTTTATCAGTTCAAAATGGACAGATAATTAAAACAACAAACAAAACAGTAAATGTGTTCAATGTGCGCCGTTGATGTTTGTAACATACATATCTCATCATGTAGCAGTATGACAGCAGGAGGAATAATAAGATGTAGATTATCAACCCAATATGAAAGACTGTCAGTGATTCCATCTCTATATATAACACAATATTAGCTGTAGTATACTTAGTGGTTTTTGCTCCATACTCTGAGAATTGTATTTAGATAAATATGTGCTGCATGCATCAACGATTCCCTCTGACCTATGCAGCAAACTACTAAAGCACACATCTGTGTGTGTGTGTTTGTGTGTAGCTATTTGTTTAACAATGGTATAGGGAATGTCATGGGGACCTATGTCTTCATGGGGACCAAAATCCTAGTCCCCATATGGTAAAGTTTTATTCTTTAAGTTAGGGTTAGGTATGTGCTTGTAATAGTTAGGGTAAGGTCTGGGTTAGGCCATGTGAAATGAATGTAAGTCAATGAAATGTCCCCATAAGTAATGAAAACACAACTGGGTTTGTTTGTGCATGTAGGGGGGTTTTAAACTCGATACCTTGCAGGTCCCGATGCAGCCCACTGGCCTATCTGGACGCCCACTCAAACCCAGCTTCTTGTTGACGGCTAGAAACCGGTATGCCTGTAGAAACAGAAATACCACATGAGTGTGCACAGCATTTCAAGCATCCTCTCGGCGACCTTTCTGTTCACAGAGAAAACATTGTACAGCTCCCCCTTCCATACAGATCCCTGTGATTGTATCTTTGAAAATGAAAATACCATATTTGATTGGAAATGTCATACGGCGGTATTTCATTCCACAAGGCACTGAAAGCATGAGCCGAATATCCCTCTGTCCTACCGAGACATTTTATGATCCTGCCAATCATACCCTGAAATACTGTCCACATGATAGAAAGCAGCAATGGATATTCAAGCTATGAGATGCAGCAGAGATTAATAAATGCTGCCATCAGCAGCAGACGTAGTGGACAAGGGTACACCCATGATATCAGTAGTGCACTGATGCACAGAGCATTCAGTTTTTTTTTTTTTTTTTTTACAGTTTTCTGTCTGGCAATGTGGCAATAAGAATAATTGTCTTGATACCAAAAAGAGCCCAACAGATTTTACCTTTACAAGTGCAGCAGTGCTCTGTTTGATTTATGAATATAAATTGCTTTATTATTCATGATAGGAATTTTACAGATTATATGGACACTGCAATGGTAGAGTAGAACAGGAAAGGAAAAACAAGAAAAAAGAAAATGAATGAAAGAGAGAGAGAGGAGATAAAAGGAAGATCATGATCAAACATATTCAGTCTGCTTTATTACCTGCAAAGAGATGTAAAAAGAAAAACACAACCAGCGGATATAGTATAAGAGATACAATAAAGTAGCACCTAGATACCATTGCTGAAGTATATTTAGTATTATTTAACCTGACATGTACACTGCGATAGCTGAAGATAAGAATATGGGCTTTCTGTATGGAAGTGAATCTCTAAATACCTGGAACCAAGCACCTGTAGTTGTTTGTGAAAGTGCTCTTGTGAATTTAAAGATTATCCAACGGAAAAATGCTCAATAGTGGTTGTGAAGAGCCAAAGACCCGCCCCCCCACAGCACTGAGGCAAGTGCCTGGGGACCCAAAACCCCAAATGCCCAAAGGGTCCCCCAGAGCAAAGTCGTCCAAAAAGGGCCAACAAAGGAAAGCCGCACCCAACAAGGGAAGAGGAGAAACAAGAAAATTCTCCACGAGTGCTTTTTGTTTTGTGAATCGAAAAACATCCTCCCAAGACTACTCTGGCATTTTTTTATTTTTTGAGAAACTATTTTGATGCAAGAGTAGCCGTAACAGCTGTGACAAACTGAACAGCAGCATTTTATACCCAGGAATTGTAGTATCTAGGCTAGAGCTTTCAGTCTGGTGAAGAATCTGGTTGTTATTCAAAATTGTAAAGGTTGTAAACAAACTGTCTTAGACACAAGTGCAGGATTTATCAACCAATCAGCTATCACCAGGCATACATTGTACAATTGTTTTTCAATCGTAGCACGCAGCTACAGCTCACGATGTATGTATACAGTGTGAGCTCACAGTTAACGATGTATGTTCTCAACTGTGGGGCCCAACGCTCTGATGCGACCTACCTGCTCACACACTATGTCAAAAACCACGTCGGACTCAACTCCGCAGTAGAAGAGGAATATGAAGCTTACTAGAGAACCGCGCGGCCTTAGCAATTTGTGCAATTATGTGTGCTGAAAACCCTAAAAAGAAAAGGCGACAACGTATTTGAACAAAGACATGGCTGAGCAAACGTGGCTACTACGGTCTGTCAATTTTACAAAAGAACTCTATTTCACTCACTGCACATCTGAGAGAAAGAAGAAGTATCATCTGAGCGATTTGCCCATGATGGCCGATCTAACATTTCATCATTAATTCATCCTGCAATTATTACTTTACATGACTGACATGCGAGCAAGAAAGAGAAAAACCTGGAAAACTTTTTCAGTTGAAAATGTCAGAATTAACGCTGAGTTCGAGGCTTCATTGAGTGGACACAAAACAAAGCCTTGCTTTGGATTAGAAAACAAGCAAATTGAACTGAACTAACGGGTCCCTTAGGAGCGGGCACTTGTTTGGGTTCTTGCTGACAAAGAATCCAAAAGACTGCCCATTCCTAAGGGGCAGACTTATTGTTTGAAACGTTTTTTTTTTTTTTTGTTGAACATATAGTCATATTATCAAAGCTAACACTACGACAAGATTTTGTGGAATAACTGTTTACTGTTTCTTTTCAACACTTGGACACATCTACTACATACATAAACATTACAATTTCATGACTGCAAAAATATGTTGTCAATAAAACCATATTAGAATATTCAGTGCCCATTTAGGACCTTTGACAAAACTGGTACATGCGTTTTTGGAACTGGCATATACCAGTTCTCAAGCCGCCGCGGCTGGAGGGCAGTTTTCATGAACGTAATCCAAACTGCAGGGACCAGGATAATGTTAAAGAAAAATTATTATTTTTAGTTTTTAATACAGTTAATCTTATGGCATGTGTAAAAGGTATGTTGAACACTCTCATATTGAACATATTTCTTAATTTTGAACAAGTTTGTGTTAATGATTTAAAAACTAAACTATTGATGGGTAAGTACAGGAAGGAAGATGTAGATCAAAGGGGATCCTGCAATGAGGCACCGGTTGTTTGTCAGGATGGCAGGAGAGGCCCCGCATTCCACAGCTATCTGTGAAATCTTATCTTATGTTTTCCTTAGCCAGATGACCTTAGAATTCCTGGAGGCCAGGACAAGCTCTCCGCTCTGTTTGTTAAAACAAAGGAGCAAATGGCCTTTGATTTTTGCCGTAAATTAGGGGAAGTTCTAAGTTTTTCTGAGTGTCCAAGGTAGCTTCCAATTGGTCAAGCGGAGGGACGCCTTTACTGAATATACTAAAAGGAAAGACATACAGGTGCTGGTCATAAAATTAGAATATCATGAAAAAGTAGATTGATTTCAGTAATTCCATTTAAAAAGTGAAACTTGTATATTATATTCATACATTACATACAAACTCATATATTTCAGATGTTTATTTTGTTTAATTTTGATGATTACAAATGACAACAAATGAAAATCTCAAATTCATCATATCAGAAAATTAGAGTATTGTGAAAAGGTTCAAAATTGATGGCCCCTGGTGCCACACTCTAATCAGCTAATTAACTCAAACCACCTGCAAAAGCCTTTAAATGGTCTTTCAGTCTAGTTCTATAGGCTACACAATCATGGGGAAGACTGCTGACTTGACAGTTGTCCAAAAGACGACCATCGACACCTTGCACAAGGAGGGCAAGACACAAAAGGTCATCGCTAAAGAGGCTGGCTGTTCACAGAGCTCAGTGTCCAAGCACATTAATAGAGAGGCGAAGGGAAGGAAAAGATGTGGTCGAAAAAAGTGTACAAGCAAGAGAGATAACCGCACCCTGGAGAGGATTGTGAAACAAAACCCATTCAAAAATGTGGGGGAGATTCACAAAGAGTGGACTGCAGCTGGAGTGAGTGCTTCAAGAACCACCACACACAGACGTATGAAAGACATGGGTTTCTGCTGTCGCATTCCTTGTGTCAAGCCACTCTTGAACCACAGACAGCGTCAGAAGCGTCTTGCCTGGGCTAAAGAGAAACAGGACTGGACTGCTGGTGAGTGGTCCAAAGTCATGTTCTCTGATGAAAGTAAATTTTGCATTTCCTTTGGAAATCAAGGTCCCAGAGTCTGGAGGAAAAGAAGAGAGGCACTTCATCCACGTTGCTTGAAGTCCAGTGTAAAGTTTCCACAGTCAGTGATGGTTTGGGGTGCCATGTCATCTGCTGGTGTTGGTCCATTGTGTTTTCTGAGGTCCAGGGTCAACGCAGCCACATACCAGGAAGTTTTAGAGCACTTCATGCTTCCTGCAGCTGACCAACTTTTTGGAGATGCAGATTTCATTTTCCAACAGGACTTGGCACCTGCACACAGTGCCAAAGCTACCAGTACCTGGTTGAAGGACCATGGTATCCCTGTTCTTAATTGGCCAGCAAACTCTCCTGACCTTAACCCCATAGAAAATCTATGGGGTATTGTGAAGAAGAAGATGCAATACACCAGACCCAACAATTCAGAAGAGCTAAAAGCCACTATTAGAGCAACCTGGGCTATCATAACACCTGAGCAGTGCCACAGACTGATCGACTCCATGCCACGCCGCATTGCTGCAGTAATACAGGCCAAAGGAGGCCCAACTAAATACTGAGTGCTGTACATGCTCATACTTTTCATGTTCATACTTTTCAGTTGGCCAACATTTCTATAAATCCTTTGTTTTTATTGGTCTTCAGTAATATTCTAATTTTCTGATATGATGAATTTGAGATTTTCATTTGTTGTCATTTGTAATCATCAAAATTAAACAAAATAAACATCTGAAATATATGAGTTTGTATGTAATGTATGAATATAATATACAAGTTTCACTTTTTAAATGGAATTACTGAAATCAATCTACTTTTTCATGATATTCTAATTTTATGACCAGCACCTGTATACACACGTCATGATCGGATCATTTCATTTAGTGTCCATGTAAACGGAGATTTTGAATTTCCGATCAACCAAGGTTTGGATCGGATCGGGGAAATTTTGCGCATGTAAACGTAGCTACTGATACTTGACAAATGTTACTAAACGTTACTAATCTGCGTCCTACTAAGCGGAGGTCGGAAAAACTAAAAACCATTGCGGAAGATAACACAGAGAGCAGTCAATGGAGAGAAAGTGAGGTTGCTGACTTAATTCATATTTGGAAAGATAGCTCGATTCAGATCAAACTCGAAGGGTCTTACCGGAACCTGGCTCTCTTTCTTTTTGATCTTCTTAAAAAGATTTCATTAGTAATGTGCCTGCTCCTGTTGGAGAAGAACTTAAAGAACGCAATATACGCTGCGGTATTACGAGTCATGTTTACTTCCGCAAACACTGAGGACGCTTGCTACATGTGACGTCATCGCGTCCTCGAGTGCGCATGCGGGACACTTCGGTTGAACGCTTTCAGTTCACACAGTAGATCACATACAAGTC